GCCTATTCGTGTTGTCAATGGACTTTAGGTCGCAGCGTGAGAGTACACCGAGGTCGCGCACGAAAGGAGCGGGATGCAACGGTTGTCCAGCCACTGTGTACGTTCGGCCGTAATCACACTTACCCAACCTCATGAATTGCGACTTGGCAGGGTTGATCGGAAGGTTAACCTCTGTAGACCATGTTGAGAGGCGGTCGAGATCCTGCTGAAGTAAATCGCAATCATTGAGTGTGCGGATTACTCTCCACACTTTCAAGTCATCTGCGAACAAAGCACAATGTGATTGTAGTAGCTGAGGCACATCCTTTATATGGATTAGAAACAATATCGGTCCCAGTACAGTGCCTTGGGGCACGCCGCTGCTCGATGGATACCAGTCGGTTAGATGGTTGTCCACCTGGACTCTCCACTTCCGATCAATAAGGAAATTGCTGATCCATTTGTGCAGCGAACCACCAACACCGCACATCCTCAGTCTGTCAAGGAGCACTGCATGGTTAACCTTGTCAAAAGCCTTACTGAAGTCGATGTAAATGACGTCAACCGATTGGCCTTTGTTCAGCGCTTGTAACCATTCGTGCCTCGTCAACAGTAGGTTGGTGATGCACGAACGACCTTTCAGGAAACCATGCTGTGCGGAGGTTAACAGGTTTTTCGACTCGAGAAGTTTCAGAAGGCTCTTCTTCACGATCTTCTCGAGCGTCTTTGCCAAAACTGCCGTCAGGTAGATCGGCCGGTAGTTATCCACTTTGCTTGGGTTACCTTTTTTCGGTATGGGCTTTACGACTGAGCATTTCCAGTCGTCTGGTAGTAGACCAGTGGATAGTGACCTGTTAAACAGTTCAGTTACAGAAGGTGCAATTATGGTCGATAATGACTTGAGGATTAATGGGTCTATATCATCTGGCCCAGCAGGTTTCGTCCCGTCAAGATTTGCTAGAATCTTGCGTACATCCTCAATATTGCAGTTCAGGCTGTTAAATTCGGCTGGAGCGGTGCTCGTCGAACTCATTACAGACACCTGGTCACTTGCGAATACGGAGGCGAAGTGCGTTGCCAATGCTGACGCACGATCTATACTTGAGGTTAGAGGCTGTCCTTCTGAGCCTTCTAACACTGGGATATTAGCTATACGCCTTAGGCGCCGCTTCACATATGCGAAGATCCTCTTGGGAGCAGTTTTTGCGGCAGTTGCAATCTCCTCTTCGAAGCTTCTACGTTTGCTTGTTTTCGCGTTGTTGCAGCGATGATGATGATGATGATGATGATGATGATGATGATGATGATGAGGAGGATGAGGATGAGGATGAGGATGATGATGATGATGATGATGATGATGATGATGATGATGATGATGATGATGATGATGATGATGATGATGATGATGATGATGATGATGATGATGATGATGATGATGATGATGATGATGATGATGATGATGATGATGATGATGATGATGATGATGATGATGATGATGATGATGATGATGATGATGATGATGATGATGATGATGATGATGATGATGATGATGATGATGATGATGATGATGATGATGATGATGATGATGATGATGATGATGATGATGATGATGATGATGATGATGATGATGATGATGATGATGATGATGATGATGATGATGATGATGATGATGATGATGATGATGATGATGATGATGCTGATGCTGATGCTGATGCTGATGCTGATGCTGATGCTGATGCTGATGATGATGATGAATTATCTGTAAGGCGCGTCAGCATACTTCTGATGCTTAGGCTTTTCAGCATCAGCATTCTGTACCAGATCAACCACTGGGCTATTCTCACTTTACATCTGCATTCCTCTATGGCTCTTGTGTATTGTCCTTGAAACAGTTATCCAAGACGAATTCTTCATGGTGTTTCTTGTAACACAGCTCATATTGCAGCAACATTGCTTCTTCGTTTTACATCTCCGATGATACCGCATCCATTGCCCCAAGTATTTGTGGTCGTTTAAGTCGCCCTGGGATTCACTTACCACTAATGTCCTACTCGAATGGGTTTCAATAGGACTAGCCACAAATATTGGCAAGCTCAATCTGAGCGAATGAGTTACAATTCAGAGTACGACATCTTGTTACTTTTTTATTCTCTTCACTTTGATCGACATTAGCTCTTAGCCCATAGAAAGCGAACTGTATTGGCTACGGGTATCCGTCATCCACTACGAGCTGCCAGTTGTATGACAGTTTTATGGGACATTGTTTCAAAGACTGTGTTTAATTTTAAACTTGTCACCTCTGTATGACAATTTGGTTCTTAACATTTGCACCGGTCCTGCTCTTTTGCGACTTTCACAAGTTTCCAGCCCATCTGTTAACGCTGCTCTATCTGGCATCCACCAGACGACTAACTTGAACCCCAGGGACCAGGTTGGGTGATTTTCAAATCTTTGGAAAGATTCCTCGCAACCCGACTGACAGGTACAACATCCGTAAAAGCGCAAGATGACCGCTCCGTAGCGCACATCTGTCGGATCCTGTTCGATCCTCACCCATAGCTTCACTCGTACGAGCCAGCGTCTATTGAGTCATGGGTAACGGCTGCATACCACTGTGTCTAATCCAACAGCATCCGGTGGATGTTTGCCGCTGATAAGTCGCAATAAAACAGATCTGGTGCTTCTCTGAATGTGTGGTGGCTGTCTAGCCGAACCTGGCCACTTTGTTTGCTGCGATGGGCAGCACAGATCATTCCAAGGCTATCAACCCATCTGGAACACATTCATACATTCTGATCATGCCCCAGTCTTCGCACTTACCCAAGTGCTTTTTCGGGTCACAACAAAGTACTCAAATTCGAATTGTTTACTTAACACACCATTTGCGCACTATCCTCTTTGGCTACGGACGTTCATTAGTTGGTGTGTGTGGGCGGCTTTTGGTTTCACACACTCGGATAATGGTCCCTGAACACATCTGGGTTGGAACGCCTACGAATGTTACCAACAATTGTTATTTATGGTGTACGTGATACGATACTCCTCCTTTGACCTTGCACTTTCTTTCCGTTTGATAGCTTCCACCCATGTAGCGTGGTATGTTGTCGAGTGTATTATTATTAACCACCTGTTATTTACAAGGGGGATTTGCAGCGTTTGTAGGTACGCTGCATTCGATTTACTAACTGCGTGCTTGCATGCTGAGTCTCTATTTCAGGTAATGAGTTTGCCATATTGTCCTAATCTCATTAATGTCTACCTGAACTATCATCTATAAACTTGCACACGTCACTTAAGCTAATTGTAGTTAACTCCGATAACATTTTCGCAGTTGTAGCATTCTCTTAAGATTTATTTTCTGACGCATTGAACCTTTCGCGGATTTTTTGCAACCAATTTATTTCATACGCCCATTTAGTGAAAAGTTTTGTCATTGTATCTGTATTCATTATTCGATTTATTTTATTTGATATCGTCGTTTCAACTGCTTGACTGTTGTCTGACATCTCCAGTGTGGTTGCGCTTGATGTGCATGTTGACAAGGTGCCTACCTGTCTATTACCCACTACCTCGTCCATACTGACTCCAAGAGACAGTTGGTCGTTGCTGGATGGGACGGGGTACACGGTCCTTGTGGCCATGCTAGGCTCGAAGAGTGGTTCCATGCACTCAGTGTGGAGCGGGCTACGGTCCGGCCACCGTCTTGTGTGCGCTTGATTCCCCAACTACAGCGTGCTTGAGTTTGCCTGTGAAGGAGTGTGGGCCGGCTCCGTTGATGAAACGTGGTTCCCATCCGCATGCCTCCCGGTCTTATTCCTTCGGGTTTACACTGGATATGGGGTATGTGGTTGGAGCTGTGGGTGGTACAGCGCAAGCCATCCATGGTCCCTCTGTATGCGCAGGCGTTCTGTGGTTGGCCACAGTGACAGGCAAATCCGAAACCAGATGCTGCCAATCGGTAGGGGGATTTGCATGGTACAAGCAGTAGTTCATCACATCTAGACAGCAAACTCTCGGAAATGCACCGTACGGCCATTTCATCTTTATGGAATTGTTAGTGGTGTGAAGTGCGTATGATGGTTGGGAATGAATTCGAAGCGAATTATCAGTGCTATTTCACACGGGGGTAGAGATTAACCGAACACTTTAACCGAATCGGTGTGTGTCATCTCTATGCTTTGGAGTCTCTGTGATGATCACATCATTATTTGGATATGAGACAGCCACACACTCAGTGGCGCTCATGCATTTGGTCTCTTGCTTCCAACTGTCACTTCATTTAGTGCTCATGTCTACATTTTCTGTTGCGTCTTCCATATAAGTTTATTACGTTTTCTTTCCATCGTTCTACTTCTGTCATCGTTTCTTTTGTTATCAAGGCAGCCTTCGTTACGATAGCGGATTCCTTCACACAGTCTGGTGTTCGCATACTATTTATTTGTACTATTTAGAACAAGAAATATCCAGTTCGAATGCCCATCAGAATTTGACTTGACGGAGAATATTGTAGCATTTAAGTTAGAGCTAAATGATAGCCAAGGTGGAGTGATTGTGTTGCCTGACCACGTCTGTTCATAAATACAAAGCTGTGCTTTGTGGAATTACTGGGCGTCATTAAATAACTAAACGCTGTATATCCCGACGGTACGAGGCACAATTCAACTGAGTGGTGTGATCAATTTCCGGTACTCGCAGACTTCAGTTCTATCCCACCGTGTAGCCATTACATCCTGCAATCTACTGCAATGTCACGACATTCAAAATTATCACGTTCGTCATATGGCGGCTGCTCGTCGAACAGGCTCACGTTGCCATTGCGTTTATTCTGCCTTTAAAGTCTTTTTCTAGTTAGCTCCCCCCCCCCCGATATTTCCATCTAGGCTGTCCTTACGCTTATTAGCTTGCGGTGAAAAACGTGTAAGGGTTTTTGTATTACGACAACATTTTGGTAAAACGTATCATTCAGCCGTGCGGTTTTTACCGCATAGTTATCTGTTCATCTTTGTTTTTTTTTATCACAGAAACAGTTCAGTTCGACCACGTGCAAAACTTATTTGGCTCTGTCAGAATGGTACCACACTCGAGTAAGTTGATGATTTCCCTTCTCCGTCATAAAAGTACGGCGATTCCTGTGCACCCGACCTACCATTAATCGCAAGTGTCTGTAAAATTACTCTGTGTAAGTAGTCGATAACTTCGTGTACTTAAGGAGCTGCATTAGCGTGGGCAGATCGACGGGAGACCTCATCGTGCATTTTTAAAGCCGGGATAGCTTTTGCCAATCTCCGATATCTTTGGGCTCGGTATGGTCTGTCTTTCACTGAAAGGCCGAGTTTACAACGCCACGGTACTGACAGTGCTTGCTTATGGCCTCGAGACCTGACTTTTTTGCGCGGGCGATGTACAGAGATTGCTTCTTTTTAGCCACGCTGCCTCCGATGCATCGCAGATGTACGTTGGCGGCATCATCATGGTGACGTTTGCTGTCGGATGTTCGAGTTACTTAATCTGACGACCACGGAGCTGCATAATTTCTCTACGCATGCTCCAGTGGTTCGGGCACGTGCTCACTGGTTGTCCCGTCGCGCTGTCTGTGTACTCGCCCGTTTTGGTTAGGAGCGACGGAGAGTTGGCAAACGCGCTACCTGGGTCCAGAATGCCAGTGTACTAACATAACCGTTAGCCGCATTGAGGCGTTCCCCATTCCCGTGTTTGCGGCCCAAAGGCGGCGAGCACCCCTGTTTGGAAACTGTCTGATACAGTCCGGAATCATGCCGGCTGGCAAACATGTTTCGAGGCACCCTCCCCCGACTGTCTTTTCTCCCCTTCTCATGTTTATACCCATGTGTTATTGCTCTCTACCAAATGTATACTGGTCAATCGTTGAAAATATGGTTAAGTATTGTGTATATGGTTGGCGGCAACCGGTTCCGGATTTGCTTGTCACTGCGGCCTCCATAGAACAGTCACAGAACGCCTGCACCTACAGAGGGACCACGGATGGCTTGCGCTGCACCACCCACAGCTCCATCCACACACCCCATATACAGTGTAAACCCGAAGGAATAAAACTGGGAGGTATGTGGATGGGAGCCACGTTTCATCAATTGAGCCGGCCTATACTCCTTCAACTAGCAGAGCAGACGATACCTTTCTAATTGGGGAATCATGCGTGCCAGACATACACAAGGCGGTGGCTGGATCGTAGTCCGCTCCACCCTGGATGCATGGAACCACTCTTTGAGGCTAGTACGGCCACGAAGACCACGCACCCTGTTCCCCTCAACGATGATTCAGTTTCTGGGAGCCATTAATCGAGCTAGAGGGTGCTGGACAGGTAGGCACCTTGTCAACCTCCACACCAAGCGCAGTCACACCGGGAGTGTCAAGCCATAGCTATTTCTTTGAAATGATAATATCAAATAAAATAAATCGAATAATGCATACGGATATGCCGACATAACTTCGTTAAATTAACGTGTGGAATAAACGGGTTCTCAACAAATGTGCGATAAACTCAAGGTTTCAGCAAAGGTGATCGGTGGAGTTTGCTCCATCGACGCCTGTTGCTTCCGCATCTACCGCTTCTCCACATACACGAGGGCTTTCTCCTGTACTTTGGTAACGGCCTACGAGACCAGATTGTACCATGCTAACCGATCAACCGCCTTCAGTTCCGAATATCAGAAATCAATATTAGTACGTGAGAGGCTCACTTTGGTCATGTCCTGGTAACAAATTTTAGGTTTCCCCACGTGCCGCTTCCCCACACTCGGCTGACCATATAATAGCTGCTTCGGTATCCGCGTCGAATCCATACGCCACACATGACCGAGCTACATCTGGTGTCTCATCAAAAGTATGCAGTCCACTGCATACATTCCACTTCGGCGCAACGCCTCCGTGTCTGCAACTCTCGCACCAACCGATGCGCAGAATCCGCCGCAAACACTTGATGAAACCGCTCGAGATATTGCACATCTTGCCGGTACGTCGTCCACATTTCGCTGCCGTATAGAAGAACGGACAGCACCATGGACTTGTAGACCATCAGCTTCGCGCCAACGGTAAGCTGACAGTTGTTCCATACCCGGGACTCTAGCTTCCTGAATGCCACCGCTGCCTTCGTTACGCTGATACGAAGCTCACTGTATGTTCACTTGTTAGTTGAAATCACATTCCCAAGGTAGCAAAGACGGGAGGTGGTTTCCAATACATCATAACCAATGTTGGTTTGCGACACTATTGAAGATTTCACTTCCGACAAACGCTGAAAGGGACAGACCGTTTTGTTCGTGTTGATGGTGAGCCCGTCGCAACGAGACTGGACCTTAACGTGGTGCGACGGTTTGTGTACCTCATTGACCCATTGAGCTATACTGGGTGATGCCTCCGAGCATCTTGAGGGCTACTCCTACCAGGTTGGTCAATGGTGAGAGGTCAGACAAACTCAGTCTCCTGGTCCTCCAGGTTGGGGTTTGAAATGGGATGGCGTCCATTTCTGTAAAACTACATCACTGCCACCCCGCTGCCTTGCGGACAGGCTTTTGAGCCAAAGGCTTTGGATGAGGACCCTAATCGTCCTCCTGTCTAGGTCTGGGCGCCCTGGCAGTATCCCAGCCCACATACAACCATGACCATTTCTTCAAACATAAACTTCATCCTGCATCGGCCTTCGCGCAGATTATCAAGGGTCGCCTTATCTGCTGCATACAGCAGGGCGGATAAGCGAAAGCATGCTACTGCTGGCGCCTCCCTTCTTTCTTTTCCACCTTTTTCTCTTACTCCCATCCCGACCCCCATCACTAACCTTCCTTCTATAATTCCCAGCTTAATTGACAGCAACCGAAGTGCTACTGGAGTAGTACCGCCTGCAGCCACCATCTCACAGCACCTATCGGACGTCTATCGGCAAAAGTTCCTTATAAGGCCACGCTGTCCTGTTTCCATGGCGACATTCAACGTCCGCACTCTAAGACAAACAGGTCAGCAGGCTGCACTCGCACGCACCTTGGACACACTGGGTGTTGATGTGTGTTGTGTGTCCGAAACTAGGATTAATGACGCTAACGGGGTTATTGAATTGACTGTACTCGGCTTATCCTCTCGTTATTGGTTGCACGCATCCGGAGACGCCGATGCGGCACTCACGGGTCAAGCTGGTGTAGGTATCATTCTCAGCTCCAAGGCTGAGTCATCGTTGGTTGATTAGATTCCGGTGAACAGCCGTTTATGTGCAGCCCGTTTGACGACATCAGCTAAGGTGAATTCGCGAAGTAAAACAAAACGCTGTTTGTTTGTGATTTCTGCTTATGCTCCCACCGACTGCAGTTCAAATGCAGTCAAGGGCACATTCTATCACGAACTGAATGCGCTATTACGCAGTGCTACTAGTTCAGATATTATAGTACTTGCAGACGATATGAACGCACAAGTAGGGCGTCTGAGCTCTTCAGAGGCTCAGCTGGGTGGTAAGTATGGACTTAACGCCGAACGGACTGACAACGGCGAGCGTCTGCTGCAACTGTGTGCGGAGCACCAGTTGTTTCTTACTAGCACTGCTTTTAGACACAGTGGGCGCCGAAGTGCCACTTGGCGTCCTCCTGTAGGTGACCAGCGATGGACCCAAATTGCTCACATTGCCATAAGTTACAGGTGGCGCGGTTCCATTCTGGATTGCCGCTCGTACTAGAGTACCTGTGTCGACTCTGATCATGCCCCTGGTACGTTGTCGTTTCTCCATGAACTTTACCGGAAGGCGCACAAAGCGTCTCCCCCGATTGGCAACGGAGAAATTGTCCCAGCCCTCTGTCAGGCAAGCCTATCAAGAAGCACTGCATAGCGAACTCTCGCTGTCTTGTCCTAATGATACTGAACTTCAGTGGAATAGGATCTCGGCCACTATGCACGACGCAGGAGCATCTGCTTGTGGCACTATCAGTCGTCATCGCACCAGTCACTGGATATCCGAGAGGTCCGTGAACCTTATGGAAGCTAGAAGGCACCTCCCGGCTGGTTCTGAACACAATGTGACCAGACGGGCTATTAGGCGTGGACTAAAGCAAAGCTTGCATGCTGACAAGGAAGCCTGGTGGACCAGTCGGGCTCAAGAAATGGAGGAGGCATGAGCAGTAGGCAATTACCGGAAGCTCTTCCAGCTAATACGCACCACTGGTCCGAGGAAACCAGGCGTCAGTAAGACAATCAAGGACAGCGCAGGTGCGCTGATACACAATAAGGAGCGCCGTATGGCTCGTTGGGCTGAGCACTTTGAACATCAGTTCAGCTAGCCCCCTGCTCGCGGACCTCTTCTTACTCAGGTGATGCAGGACGAGCCATGGACGGTTAGTTTAGAGCCTCTGTCGGAGGCCGAGGTCCGAAACGCGATCACAGCCCTCAATCGTTTTCGTGCCGCTGGCCCGGATTCCCTCCCACCTGCACTATTTAAGGATGGAGGTGAGGTCCTCTGCAAAGCACTGACCTCCTTATTCGAACGTATCTGGAACAAAGAGTGTGCCGGCTAATTGGAGCGAATCGATTATAGTGGCAATATACAAGAAGGGCAGTCGCACAGACTGTGCGAACCACAGGGGTATTAGCCTAACGCCAGTTGTGACAAAATTACTGGCCTCGATTATCGTTCGTCGCCTCACTGCAGAACGGGAATCTCGGATTAGGGAAGAGCAGGCCGGTTTTCGCCCAGGACGTGGCTGTATAGACCATATATTTACTTTGCGGCAGGTGCTAGAGCAGCGCCACGCATACCGCAGACCGACAATAGCTGTGTTCCTCGATTTCAAGAGTGCGTTCGATTCAGTCGATCGATCGATTCTGTTCGAAATACTTGCGCGGAAAGGTGTTCCCACGAAATATGTGAACATCCTTCGTGCTCTATGCTCGAACACTAGAGGCCGCGTCAGGGTCTATGGTGCCCTATCGGATAGCTTTTCGACTACAAGTGGCGTTCGTCAGGGTTGCCCGATTTCCCCGTTTTTGTTCAATTTCGTCGTGGATTCTATCATGGAGTGTTCCCTTGCGGAATCTCCCGATGTAGGTGTTGAAGTGCTGCCTGGTGAACGGTTAG